GTAACTTCACATTAAAGAAAAAACAATCAAGAGTCTCTCAAAATAAGCAGCTACTATTTTATCATGACTTTACTTGTTTAATTCTTTATAGATTAGGTAAGTGGAAAATATCCAGTCACTTCAGTTGTAATAGTTCCCCAATCTAAAGAATGATCTAATGCTCCCCCCCCCCTAATGGTACATCACTAGACTAGGCTTTACAAAACCAGGAAATTCCTAGAGTAAGAAACAGACTAAAAACATTTCGTCCTCTTAATTTAAAAATTTTCAAAAAGTTGCTAACCATTAAGATCCCAAAAGATATTTCAACACATCCATTCAACAAAGAAGTACTCACCACCTTTAAACAAACAATCAAACAACAAAACTCAGACTTGGTTCACCCACAAGCGCAGGCTGTGGAGAGGCTCCTTCAGTGGCTGTGCTGTCAGCCTGAACTTCACCCGGAGGAGATGCCTCCGCTCCGGCCATTCCCCCTGCTGCCTCTGAACGCGCTCTGAGTGCCTCAAGGCACCTTACTGTGCTTTTTTCCTTCTTCCTCTGACCTTCAGCCTGTTGTTCTCTCAAGTCGCACTTATTTTCTGTTCTTTGCACAATATTTACCTCATCACACTCCGGTTTATTTTCAAGCTAGATAATAAATGGAAAAGTATATTTGTTAGTAACATGTTTAAGCGGTTATGAACGACTAAACAGATAGTATGTGACCTAGGGGAGAAAAACAACCTAAAGGATGAGAAGTTTTCCCTCCCTCCCAAGAAAGGGGAAGGTGCTATAGAACTCTGCGTCTAGCCAGGGCGATAACTGGAAATGGAGCAGTCTGAGTCCCTGCAGCTTTGCTTACATCACGCTTATGCTTACAATAAAACACATCAGTATTTGTCTACCTGAATGGAAGTATTAAATGACCATCAGACATTACAGGATACTAAATGAGGTTCAGACAACATTACTGAATTATACAGATAACAAAAAGGGTAAATAATTCAAGAGAATACAACTGGCCAACACAAAACGCAAACGTGATGTATGTTATGGTTTCATTGCCTCACTTGTTAAGATAATCTGCCTTTTAGAAAGCCTGAGGGTCTATAGAAAGCAACCAGCTACAGTAAGCGAAGCAAAAAAATATAGTAGCTCTGCTGCAACAAAGGTTTTTTACATCAGCTTTGTAATTAAAGTGAAGTACTTTCTCAATCCATTATGTTCATTCTCGCGGCTTGTTGCAAGAACAGGAAGTCAAGGTTTGAAAGACATCCACAAAGAAACATTACTTCATAACTGAAAATAGGAGTGACAGGAACAACACTAGAAGTCTTTCAAGTAAGTGAACAGATGACATTAGACTTCCCTCCAAGAGTTATTGACTGGCAAAAAAGGAAATGGTGACAGAAACCTGAAATTTTCATTTACATGTGCACCTACAGGCTTGTTTTCAATAACAGAACTCAAGACTACAAGATCTCACTGATAACAAAAGTTTTGTGGGACTGAATGGCAAATGATAACACGACATAACTATATACATATAGATATTTAAAGACTATGACTAAATCTTGGTGCTTTTAGACACAGGTAACCATTAATTGATAGGGTTTAGCAAAAAGTTTTAAGTTACAAGCCCATCCCGCAAGCACCTCACGGGCGAGCGGGGAGTCTGCCCCTCAGGAGACAGCCCCGCCCAGAAGGCGGGACCTTGGGGCCAGCCCTG